ACTATAAGAAGTACCGTATTTTTCAGAGTATAAGATGCACCAAGATTTTGAAGAGGCAAATTAAAAAAAAAAGGTTTTGCACTCTGCAGACCTCCCAAAAACAGCCCATTTTTTTTTTTAAAAAATGGGTATACCTAGCCTTTAGGAGGTTTATAGAGTGCTGCTGGGGCCTGCCCCCCCCCCACCCCCAAATTGAGCAAAAACCAGTCCATTTTTTGCAAAAATGGGCCCATTTTTTTTGTCAAAAAAAGGGAATGCATAGCCTTTAGGAGGCTTGTAGAGTGTTCCTGGCGGCTGTGGAGAGGGGTTAAAAATGAGCAAAAACCGGCCCATTTTCCACTCATTTTTGCCCTCCCCAGCCCCCAGGAGCACTCCGGAAGTCTCCTAAAGGCTCCGCACGGCCATTTTTGCGAAGGGGACAGGGTTTTGGGAGGCCAAAAATGCTGTATTCAGTGCATAAGACGCAACCAGATTTTCAGCCTCTTTTTTTTCGCGGGAAAAAGGTGCGTCTTATACTCCGAAAAATACGGTAGGTGTAATTCTGCGTATCTGAACATTGTTGCTACCCTCCTAAAAAAAAAAGGAAAATAAAAGGTGATTTGGTAATCCTTGCCTTAACACACCTGTTTGTTTTTCTCCCTTAGCTCTATAAGCTGAATATTCACAACGTGGTAGCCGAATTTGTGCCCTTGATCATGAATACCATCATTATTCAGGTGTCCAACCAAGCCAGGTAGGCATAAGGGACTAAAACTTTTAACAAACTCTGAACTGCGTAAACAGACGTACGTTGCTGATACAGGGGCGGGGGGGGGGGGGAAGGAACAAAGTTTTAGCATTCCAGCGTACAATTTCAGAAAAGACCATTGTCTTCGGCCATCATGTGTGTGAGAGATTGATAACTCCTGAATTGGAAACTGCTTTCCTAAATCTTTAGTCTTTTAAGGCAGAGAATGAATGGCAAGATTTTAATTTTTTTTTTTTTTTGGAAGCCAGCGTCTCCATTTGAAACTATTCAAAAAGGGGACAGGCCAATGACCCAACCTGACAGCAATTTAATCACAATTGCCTTATTTAACTAAGTGAAGCAAGGGTGGGCTGCTGGCGGTTTGCAGGGATTCGGGAGAACTTCTGGCTAAGATTCTGGGCAGTTTGGAGAGCTGGCTGGCCCCGCCCCTCCCCTCCCAGGAGTCCCCACGTGGCTGTTTTGGATGCAGGTAACTGCAGGACGCGAGAGAGGCTCAGGAAGGGCGAAAACCGGGCTCCAGAGATAGAATAGAAATAGAAAATCTATTTCTATTTCTATATTCCTATTCTATTTCTATTTCTATATTCCTTCTAGTCTATTTCTGTTTCTATTTCTATATTCCTATTCTATTCTATTTCTATATTCCTTCTATTCTATTTCTATTCTATTCTATATTCCTATTCTATTTCTATTCTATTTCTATTCTATTTCTATTCTATTTCTATTTCTATTCTATTTCTATTCTATTTCTATTCTATTTCTAATCCTATTCTATTCTATTTCTATTTCTATATTCTATCTATTCTATTCTATTCTATTTCTTTTCTATTTCTATATTCCTATTCTATTCTATTTCTATATTCCTTCTATTCTATTCCTATTCTATTCTATTTCTTTTCTATTTCTATTTTCCTTCTATTCTATTCTATTTCTATAATCCTATTCTATTCTATTTCTATATTCCTATTCTATTTCTATTTCTATATTTCTTCTGTTCCTATTCTATTTCTATATTCCTATTCTATTCTATTCTATTTCAATTTCTATATTCCTATTCTATTTCTATTCTATTTCTGTTTCTATTTCTGTTTCTATTTCTATATTCCTATTCTATTCCTATTCTATTTTTATTATTTCTATTTCTATTCTTTTTCTATTCTATTCCTATTATTTATATTCCTGTTCTATTCCTATTCTATTTCTATTTCTATTATTTCTATTTCTACTTTATTCTATTCTCATGATCAAATGTGCCTTCTTCCATAATTCAGGCAGAATAAAAACTACAATAAGGAATTGTACGCCGACTTCATTGCTGCCCAGATCAAAACGTTGTCGTTCCTGGCTTACATTATAAGGATTTATCAGGTGAGCCTGGTCATCTGATGAGCCAATCCCACCCAATCCTTCCTCTTCCTTCCTCTTTTAAGTTCCCCTTCGTTGGGGATGTAAACAACGGAGGTCCCATCCCACGGAGGTGCATTTTCTTTTTTTCTTTTTTCTCACCTGGCCAGGAGCTGGTAGCGAAGTATTCCCAGCAGATGGTCAAGGGAATGTTGCAGCTGCTGTCCAACTGCCCAGCAGAAACGGCCCACCTGAGGAAGGAGCTGCTCATCGCAGCCAAGCACATCCTCACCACCGACCTGAGGAGCCGTAAGTACTTTGGCCCTCTTCAGAGGGTTGCATGTAGTCCTCGACTTACGACCTCGACTCGAGCCCAGCGCTTCTGCTGTGAAGCGAGACGCTGGTGGAGTTGAGCTTTGGCCCCTTTTTACGACCTCCGTTGCCCTAATTGCGAAGCGAATCGCTGCAGGTGGTAAGGGAGGACCGCGGCGGTGACGCAAATCTGGCTTCCCCCATTGACTTTGCTCGTCATTAAAAGAGGATCACATGACCTTGGGACGCAGCAACGATCATGAGCCGGGGTGGCGCAGTGGTTAAGAGGCAGTATTGCCGGCTACTTCTGCTGACTGCAGGCTGTCGGCAGTTCGAATCTCACCAGGCTCAAGGTTGATTCAGCCTTCAATCGTTGTAAGTCCAGGACTACCTGCGCCATCTTAAATTAATTGAAGCATCGTAATTAAACCCTATTGCTTTCCTTACGACACCCTCATCCTCTTGTAAATTTTTGTTGCAGAGTTTATCCCGTGCATGGACAAATTGTTCGATGAATCCATACTCATAGGCTCTGGCTACACGGCCCGTGAAACGCTCAGGTGGGTAAACGTGCGCTACTATCTGGAGGCCTTTATAGCGGTCCTCTCTAAAAGTTGCAGGTGTCTGCAGGGGAAGGGAAATTGTGATGCATGCAGGGTCTCATCCCTGGGAGATTGGACCATGGGATGGACGTGTGTGTGTGGGGGGGGGGGGGGGGGGGGGCGCAAGATCTTGAACTTTTAACTGGGTGGGGAAAACCGGGAAGCCTTCAGATTCGGGTTTTCCCACCTGTGCCAACATGGCTCTCTTAACTATGAGGAATACTTTGCCTTGGGCTATTTGAAATCTTGACAATTTGTGTAAAATAGAAATAGAATAGAATGGAATAGAATAGAATAATAGAGCGGAGCAGAATAGATAGAATAGAATATAGAATAAAATAATAGAGTAGAATAGAAAATAATAATGTAGAATAGAATAGCATAGAATATTA